AGAGGTTTTTATGGGGCGTTAGGAAGGGGTCGTTGGTGAATGAGCAAATCCAAAGTAAAAACGATTTTCATTGTCTTTTTTGACATCATGAAAGTTTCAAAAAAGTCATCGTCCACCACGACAAACAGTCAAGGCCAAGTTTTACGTGGAAATCCTCAAGAGACTCAAACGAACGGCATTCGAACGCTTCCGCAGGGCACAGATGTGGCTCCCAGGATTTTTTTTGTTTCCTGAAAATACCGATGAAAAGCAAGCAATTTGAAACGAAAGACGGTATCCAAGCAGCATGCACCTCGGCTCTCAAGGATATTCCAGAGAATGCCTTTTGTGACGACTTCAATGCTTAGAAATTACGCTGACAGCGCTGCATCGACACAAAAAGAGCCTATTTTGAAAGTTTTTAAAGAGTTGTAACGATTGGTTCAATAAATTTTTTAAATCGACTGAGTCTTATTACTTTCCAGACAAACTCTGTAGCTCACTCCTAACGAATTTTGTAGAGATTCCGGAAACTATTGATGCTGTGCGAAAACTGATAATGCAAGATCTTTATGTGACCTATCGTCAGATTTAGACAACCATAGGCATTAGTGAGACCAGCATATATTCACGATTGCATAGACACTTCATTGTACACAATTTTTCTTCTCATTAGATCTCACACAGTTTGTAAATCGCCCAAAAAAGGCTAATGTCGATTGGTCGAAAGAAACGTTAAAATAATATGATAACGTTTGCTTCGAAATACGTTAATGACAACTTGACAGGTGATGAATTGTGAATTTATACGTATGATTCCGAAAGTAAACAGCAGTCAACTGTATGGGTGCTTCAAAACAAGCCAAATCCAAAAGTTCAATGGTTGATGCGTTCAGAATTCATGTTATATAGATACCTTAATCCAAGCGGCAAAGGTGCTTCGAAAATTAGCTCAAATTAATGCGAAAATATATAGATCTTGATGGAGAATATTTTAGAATACAATAAAGCTAATTTTTGTTTTTCTTCTCTAATCCCGAAATAGTTTAATGAGGGGGTTTGCAGTAGTAGCATTAAGGGGCTATACCAGTGTGACGCATGAAAAATCAGGCGATTTTCGTGACTCTTTTAAGAGAAAGTACGTGATTGAATATTTCGAACTTCTTTGAACGTATATTGTAATATTTTAAGAATTCTTTTTTTTTTCAAAAATGTTGAAAAATTACGGCTGTCATCGGAGGTGCTAAAAAAAAGTGCCCCAACTGCTGACATGACACCGGACGAATGAGTAGCTGAAACAAAAAATTCAAAAAGTTTATTAAACTTAAAGATATTTCCTGTACACTGACCAACGATCTTTGAAAAATATCAAAAATTAACGAAATGGCGTAATTTTGAAAATAAAATCTTTTTTAGGTCTAAAATGGTCTTTTTTTAATGCCAATTTGACAATTTTTAACCAATCAAAAAAATGTGGTTTCGAGAAAAGCTCAAAGTTTCACTTATATATGTTTTCACCGCCGAGCGATATGCCAGTTTTGCAAATATAAACCATCGATAAAGCAAATAATTTTTTTTTTATTTTTTATTTATTTATTTTTTTTTTGAAAGTGTCACACTGGTATAGCTCTTTAAGTATACCACAAGTAATGATCTATTAGTTAGTTTAATATAGATATTAAATAGATATTAAAGTGAATTTCATGAAAAAGTACTTCCAAAATAAATTTTTTTTTAGTAGCGTTGCCACCTGGTAACCTTTTTAACTCAAAAACATCAATAAGTTAGTGGT